CCAATGTTTATGATATAAGAAAAATAATAACCTAGTTAAGTATTTTTTTCCCTTCTTATACAACTTGAACAGTAAATTTGATCAGGAATAACTGTTGCTTGCTTGTACTGTTTGTTTGTAGTGTTCACCTAATATTAAACTAATATTAATTTATGCATTCTACTACCTACTGTCACTTAAATCTATCTTTCAGGTCAGATACAGAGATTCTAGTTATTTTTAACTAACAATATTTTGTGCTTTTCAACAGATTTATACCATAGAGCAGTGATGGCTAACCTTTTTGCCATCGCGTGCCAAAAACGGGGGGAGCACGGTGGGGTCACACGCACGCGTGCCCACATCCATAATTCTATGCACTCCGCCCCCACCACCACTTTTGGCATGTGATGGCACAGTGGGCCTGGTAGACCCGTTTTTCACCTTTCCCAAGCTCCAGAGCCTTTCTAGGAGCCTGGGGAGGGCAAAAATGGCCTTCCAGCCTCCGGAGGCTGGAAACAGTGTGTTTTCTGACTTCTGGTGGGTTTTCTGACTTCTGGTGGGCCCAGAAGGCCCGAAAATCAGCTGGCCGGCGCACGCATGCATGCCGGAGCTGAGCTCACATGCCCACCGATATGGCTCCACGTGCCACCTGTGGCACCAGTGCCATAGGTTCGCCATCGTGGCTATAGAGTAAATAGTTTTGACTTTTTAATGGAAAATACATGTATCTCTCTGTGAGTACATATAATAATGCAAGTTGTTGCATAACAATTGCACACTGTGCATATTCACCTTGCTTCACAAAAGAGAGAATCATACAGAATTTAAAATATGTCTTATATAGAACCCAACTAGCAGAAATATTGTTTAATAGCCTCCACAAAGGAGCATAATGGTTGAACTAGGCCCAGTTTCATTCTTTAACTTCATTTCAGTTTTGGTCTGTTTCTTGTCTTAAAATCCTTTTAATGTTCAGTTCTGAATGTGAAAGCTTTTGTTCAGTTTCCTTACTCAAACTCATCCAAAATGTGGCTCTCTATTCATGACCTCATCCTTCAACCGAAATCTGTCAGCTTTGGCTTCTTGAGCCTAAGAAACAAAAAATAAACTTTTCTTTTAAGAAAAGCTTCAGTTCTGTTTGGGTTTCTTGTATATAGTCTGCACTACAGATAATGTTGACAGCCGAGGCAAAATAAGCCCTTTATCTAGTGCATGCATAATATATCTCAGTGTGAGCCCAAGAGAAAACTTGCAAATAAGTAATTACTGTTGACATTGCTCACCAGTTTCAAAGTAAGATATATCCGGTTACCTTTTAGAGTTTAATTTTTTTAGAGTTAAATGGCAGAAGAAAAGACATGAGCAGAATTATATAATTTTGTTACTTTATAATGCTTCTATAATGGATGGTTAACAAGACTGTTCTACTTCCATGATTTTACACATGTTAGGATGAGTTGTACAATGTATGCAGCCAGAAATAAAACAGCCATGTTCCCGAAATCCAGGAGCAACCTAGAGATTAATACAGAGGGAAAAAGGATTTAGGAACAGTTGGTTCAAACCCAAACACTGGGAATGAATATGGCAGCATGAACACCTGCTCTAGCTATAGCAGCATGGATTTTCCACAGATAATAACATTCATATCCAAATCAAAGGTTTCAAGGACTTTGAGATTCACCAAGCCAATTTTCCAGCCATTTGTTTATTTAATTTAATTTCAAGGCCACCCAACTCTTCAATGTTTTCAACAACTTACAATGAAAAGAAAGAACATAGTGTATATCAAACGTTCTGTTTTATACTGTATGATCCCAAACAAAGTCTTGTGGGGTTTTTTTTTGGTTTTTTTTGTATTTCTTAAATAATGTAGAAAAAGAATGTATGCATGCTCAGAACATTAGACTACAGTGAGTTGAAATCAAGGTCAATGTATCCATCTAGAAAACCACAGGGTAGAGCAGATTAAGAAAATAATGTAGATGAAGCCTCTGGGAATGAAAGTGAATAGTCATTGCAAACTCATGTGAGTTCTTGGGTGAAAAAGATCCTATCGGTTAAATGTTTGTAGTGCTACCCCCGAAAGGGCTGCTGGAGTTTGAGTTCTCCTGGCCCTTTTTGGTATGGCCACCGGTCCACACTGGTCCCTCGCTCAGGCACCTCTACTGGCTTTGGTCATATAGTGGTCAGTCTCCTCTCAGCAGGCAGATCATGTGGTGGGGTGATGGTCAGTCTTTTCCCAGTCGGCAGGTCACATGATGAGATGGTATTCATGTGGCTGGTCAGCCCTTCTTCCTTTCTTTCTCTCTCATCTCTACCTCTCTTGAATTGCCTGCTGAGTTCTCCTTCCACCACCTCTGCTCCTTCATGGATTCATCTGCTTGTCCCACAGAAGCCTTTCCTCTCCTACCTCCTTCTCTCACTCAGGCTTGCACCACAGCAGCCTCTTCTATCCTACCCCCTTCTCTCCCTCAGGCAACGGGTAGTTGTGACCTGTGGGTGGGCTCGCCCATCTGCCCCAGCGCTATGCCGTCCTATATAGCTGTGTACAAGCATGCGCAAGAGCGAAGTGCATGCGCAAGAGCGAAGTGCATGCGCAGAAGGCCACACGCTCACATATTCGGTGCTGGGGCGAACCGGTTGTTAAATTATGTGATGTCCATTTCTGCTTCTCCCTCCCCCCTCCCCCGCGCTACATGTCTATGGAGATTCTCAGTCATGGTTGTCCAAAAGGTACTTTTTCAAAAAGCAACTGGACTTTGTTTTTCCTTAAAGATAAGGAAGTTGTCTTCAAGGAAAAGACAAGTTTCATGCAAGAAACTTCTTCAGCTCAAGTTCAGAACTGAAGAAGCTTCTTGAATGAGACGTGAAACATCTTGAAAAAAACAATATCTTTGGGACATCCTGTGTGTTATTTAAGTTTTGACTAAACATGAGGCACCCACCACCAAACCCATTTTATTTTAAAATAGAGTTGCACAATTTATAGTTATGGTTGTTTTATTCTGAGCATTCCTAAGTTTATATTGCCAACATTTGTCAACAAAAGTTACATTTTTAGGGGCATGATTTCAGCCAGGGGGAAGTGGAAGTAGTTTGCCTTCCAAACTCCTCCAAAGTTTTTTTAAAAAGGCTGAAAGAAATCAATATTTTAAAGAACTTTATTGTAAGTGTTAAAATGTGTTCATTTCTATCCGTAAACCCAGAGCCCCTTTCCAACTATGTGGTCCAGTGGGGGGGCGGGGGCGGATAGGGGTGATTCTGCATGAGTGGCAAGCATGCATGCACACATACAGCTTCATTTGCACAAGCAGCGGGCACACATCCTCACTGCTTGTGCAACTGGAGCATGCGTACAAGTGCTCACCCACTACTCAAGTGCTTTCCCACCGCTTCTGCAGCCCAGTTCCGAACAGCTCAAGGCCCAGTAGTGGACTGGGGCCCCGGAGGCCACAATTTAAACCCACCTAGAAACCCACCAAAAAGAAAACTGGATAACCATTAGCTATTGTCAGTATACAGTTTAGAAAAATTGCTAACCAAAAGCTGAAGTATCAATTTTACTGGTAAATGGAGCCAAATACTTAATATGAAATGAATTTATAGTGTCAATCTTTAAGGAAAAAAATGGCCTGGGCTTTCATTCGGTGTTTTAATAGTTAACGTCAGCGAGATTTATCTTTAAAAATACCTCTAGGAAATTGGGCAGCCATGAAACTAGAAAATCCTTGATCTGCAGTGGATATTTTCTAAAATGTTTCCTGTACTGAAATAATATTTTTGGAATAGGAGTATGTTTCTAAGATCCTTGAGATGCAAAAGAAAAGGTTTCTGAATATAGCCTGCTTTGCAAGTTGTCCCTCCTTTCCCTTCCTTCCTTTGTGCAGTATAAGAAAACTATATTGTGATTTAATATACCACCAAATGTTGTTTACTTCTGCTGTAATGGATGCTATTATGCCTTTCCTTTCTTCTTCCTTTTAATCATATTCTACAAAGACATGCAAATAAAGCCAGGTATTCCGAATACAAGGTTTATCATTTGCAGGAAAACAGGTGTAACAAAACTTTTTTGAGAGAGAGAGAGTTTTGAGAAAAGGTCCTTGAGTGATAATGTTGATTTCTTGAATAAAAAAGGATGCATTTGTAAAAAATATATACCAGCAATAGGCTTGAAGTGGATGATAAAGAAGTTGGTAAAACATTTACTCTACCACTCAGCATGCAAAGGAATAAAGCTTTACCATATTTTCTAATTAAATGTGTGTTAAAAAGAGATGCTGTAAATCAGAAAGAGAGAGAGAAAGGGAAGGAAAGTTCCCTTTCTCCTTTCCCTTTCCTCCTTGCATTCTCCTTTTTTATCCTTTATATAATACTACTGTGGAACATCTATAAAATAGAAATAATTTTCAAGTTTTTCTGTCACAATGGTTCTAGCACAGATCTGATCCTTAGTCTATAGGGAGAAACAAAAATTCATTTCAAACTGTTGATAGAAAACAGTGCCTAAGGGTGAATATGTGTTCATGTAGCAAGGCTGCCTATATAACACGCTAAGCATTAGGAGAAGTGTTTGGGGTCCCATTTTTCTACTTGTCAGTTTCTAAAGCAACAGATATAGGAAATATATCCTATGGCATGCAATTGGAGCATGTCTGACGTATAAAGTGATAACTTACTTCTGATTGGCTGCATAGAGATCTGGGCTGCTGGAGATAAGTGGAATTCTAAAGATGGATATGTTTTGGCAAAGTTGTTCATTTCATGGAACCTTGCAGGATATTGCAAAATAGGTGAGCCAGCTGAAATTACACTCCACCAAGACAGTTGCAGCTACATAGCCATGTAATGTGGACTCTATGTCCCATCTATATATTTGTGGCATGGACCTAGTCCTCATCCTATGTATGTCATTACAAGAATGCAACACATTGGGCTCTTGTAAAAATAATCCTTCAGTTTAATCAGAATTTCTGCCGAAAGACTAATACAGCGTTTTGTTTTGTTTTGCACAGGTAACAAGTTCTGGATCTTCAAAGACACCACCCTCCAGCCAGGGTATCCTCATGATTTGATATCATTAGGAAGTGGGATTCCTCCTCATGGTATTGATTCAGCAATTTGGTGGGAGGATGTTGGGAAAACTTACTTCTTCAAAGGAGACAGGTTAGTGTGTTCATTCTGGAAGGAACAAACATTATTTACATGGCTTGCTGTTCTCCTTCATTCTTAGTATTAATACACATTCAAAAATATGGAATATTTATTTAACACTATTATGGCAACACTAATATTGATCATTTTGCTGCTGAGCATGGTGCAGTTAAGATTTACTCAAATAAACCCAGATATAAATATATAAATATGCAGAGTAAAATTAATTTTATATATAAAGTTAAAGCTTCAGTTATACATATAGCCAAGCTAAAAAACCAACTTTAAAATAAGCATTCTTTATTGTGTTTTCTCAGCTTTTCTGCAGGAAGGTTTGTTGCTGCTTGTGTTTTATTTTGGACATTTGGTTCCTATAATATTTGAAGTATCCCCAGTTTGAAATGTAGAAGAAATGCATTGCTGTTTTTTAATTATTATTTTTCTTCCCTTGAGCTACCTATAGACTTTTCCAGTTTTAAAAATATCACACACAAACAACATATTTCTATCAGATTTCAAACTGAATGGGGAACGTGCTACATATCTACCAAGTGTTAAAACTGAAAGATCTGTAATGAAAGCTTCAGTAGGTGTTCTTGAAGAAAAACTGGCATTCCTACCTTTGCATGATTGCCAATCAAATTGCAAAGGTTTCTTAGAACAAAATAAAGCACAGAAAACACTCCAGTTGCACTGGAGATGGCACAAGTAGGAAGTCAGTATTTTCAAACTGTGACAAGTAGGGTTGCCAGGTCTGCTTCCAAAAAATAGCAGACAAGCGGGAGGGGGGGAGTGTTAAGTAGTAAAAAAATAAAGAAAATTTTTACAAATAAATTATATATTTTCTTACAAACATTTTAACACTTATTAAAATAATCACTTCAAAACTTTACTTAAAATTCAAAATATCAAATATATTATAATAATATGTAAAATATTAAATTACATTTTAATTTCATCATAAAGCTTTTGAATAAAAAAAAGTCCACTATTTTGTGAAAAAAAATAGTGAACATAATGTGAAAAAAGCGGACTGTCCGCTCAAATAGTGGACACCTGGCAACATTAGTGACAAGAAAAAATGGTGAAAATTGCATTTGCATGGGCAAATAAGAGGAAAACATACGTGGGGATCTGAAATCATGAGCCTGTACTAATGACTAGAAAATCTAACAGCGTGAATATTAATTTACTTCCAAAGGAACATAGGAAGTTGTCTTCAATTAGGTCAAACTTTTTACAGTTTGCCTTATTAATTTTTTTTAGTTGAGCTCTGTCTATCATTTGCTCAACATTGAGCAATAAAGATTAAGCCAGTTTAGTTATACTAGATGTGCCTATATCCAGTAGATGGTCAGTTGACTTTGGGATACTTACAGATGCAGTTGTCTATTCTGCCATCTAACCTCAACATGGGTCGAACCGCATTTCTTTCAACAATCTTACTATTTTGTTTTCCTGTTTGAGTTGGACTTGCATGATTTTATTAAGAGGATAGCAATCCAATTTTGAGAAATGGAGCCTTTCCTCCAGAGCGTACAGTTGTGTGGACAGAAATCAGGCAGCATTTGGGAAGCTGAAGTGCATTAAGCCTATTGCCATCAACGTCTACGGAGGACAAAACTGTTTTATAATTTGCTTGTTATGGATGTGAATATTATTTTAATATTAATCTATTTAATATGTTTTTTTCAGTTCACATGCTTTGGGGACTGTTTAAATGGTAGGCATCCTAGTTGCATGTTTGAGATTCGGGGTATTATAGATTTGAATTTTTTCTATTGACAACTTTACAAAGTTAAGGACTTCTTTAAAATACAACAATGACAAAGAGAAAGAGAAAAAAACTGTGTCCAAAAAGAAAAGGAAAAAAAAAACACAAGGAAAAGTAACAACAGAAAAACTTCTGTTGATGAGAAGGTTACTACAAGCATTATGAGATCCAGCAGGTCATAAATGCAATAAAGTGTATAAAGGAGAAGATTTGAAAAATGTGAGCCATGCTAAGATAATTGAGCTATTACAGGATATTGACCACTTAGTGGGAATAAGCCCATATCACACTAAGCTTCTCAGCACATATTGTTTATAGCCCTCCCTTTTTTAAACTTCTTAATGTAATATAGGTTGAATTCTCCCACTGGTTTTAATTGCACATATAAGCCTCTTACAAAGTTCTTTCTGAACTGAGAATAGCCCACTGTTGCTTCTGTAGCTGCGATGATTTGGTAGGCATAAAAAAAGTGAGGCAAAAGGTGATAACAAAGCCAAAGGAGGAAAATTGTCTTCCTGTAAAGGCTGTGAAAAGGTGTTATAACCTCCCAGGAGAAAGATAGACCTAAGCAACCATAGAGTATTGGTGGATAACATTTTGACTTCAGTCTCTGAGGAGTGCGTTGGGAACAGGATGTAGCACCAACCTGCGATACCTTAAACTAGCAGCATCTTTTTCCTGCTGCTTCCAGGTGATCCTGGGAAAAGATGTAGACATTGCAGAGAATTCCCAGTGCTCTGAAGCAATTTTTTGCAGATTTTATTAGAAGTGCTACACGACTTTTCAACACAATGAGGATGGATGGATGGATGGATGGATGGATGGATGGATGGATGGATGGACAGAGGGACAGACAGACAGACAGACAGACAGACAGACAGACAGACAGACAAGCAAATCCCAAAGAATCAAATGAATGCAAGAGCATGGTCCCTGCATAAATCTTAAGTTTATTCAACTAAGCAGGAGGCAGACGTCCACACGGCCACTCCACACCTCTTGAATTATTGAATTATATAGTGATTTCAACTTGCTATCCCTCTGCCTCTTATTTGATTGTTTTGCATCTTTTGATCATGGTAGTCGCCCCCATTCACCATCCCATTATTCATGCTAAACATTGACACCGCTATTTTTAGCCATTTCAATGAAACCTATTATGACTATAATGTATGCTATAAAATAGGCATAATAGAGTTATAAAACAAGTGAGAAGAAACCCAATATCTGCAAATAACTTTCACCTATGTGCATTCTGCTATTCAAACCATGTTTGATTGATCCTTTATCTCAAAAGTATTACATATCTTCTTTGCAGGTACTTCAACCTTCCATTTCTGCCTTTTTTCAGCATTGAAATTACTGGTGCTGGTTCTCACTCACTACTTATATATAATGAAAGGAATGTTTAGTTTCTCGAAACTGTCCATTTCTTTAACATAACGTTGTTGTTTTTTGTATTCAGAATTATTGCATCTGTAAATAACAAGAATATACCTTGAATAAAGCAAGGGAAAAATACTGAAAAATCTATAAAGCAATGAGTCATATTATACAAATCTCCAAACTTCGTCATTTTATTTTTCCTCATGGTAACTACCTGACGTTCTATGGATCTTTTCATTTTTCTGTGCATAGAAAAAATGCCAGCAACTATTTTCTTCCCAGTTGTTTTAATTGATGCAAAAATAAATTCTTATCCACGATTTCTCAAAACTTGAATATAATGAACCTTTATTCTAGGCAGCAATATAGTACTAAGATGCTTTCTTTTCTGCAGTTCCCACTCGGAAATAAGCCCTATTAAAAACTTAGAGAGTTACTTTTATCAAATATGCTTCAAATTACCTTCAAATATAAACATTGTAAAGCACTATGGAGGCAGACCACAACCCTTCGCATGTAGATTAAGAAATTACATCACCGAGTTAGGAAGAAACAAATGTGGGCATATTGGTGGAAATGGAGTCTGTTTTTGCATTACTAAAATATCGTTGCAGTCCAGGGGAAGGGATTACTGGATTTTTTTTTTTTAAGAAAAAAAAATGACTCCATTTCCACCAATATGCCCACATTTGTTTATTCCTAACTCGATGATGTAATTTCTTGATCTACATGCAAAGGGTTGTGGTCTGCCTCCATAATGCTTTACAATGTTTGTATATATATATAGTATATACACATATTTTTTTAAGAAAAAAAATGTTAATTTTTTTTCTAGGAAATGTTTCATAGCAAATAGAGCTTTTATATAGAACTTCTCCAAATGTACATGGCTACTGACAAAGAATCTCCGAAACTGAATTTGATATTTCTTTTGATTAGGATTTCAGAGTTCCTTGCATATAGATACTCTGAGGCCAATCAGAAAAGCAGGTCTCTGCTCCAGTGGTGGGTTGCTACTGGTTTGCCCCAGATCGGGAGAACCAGTAGCAGCGGGAGGCTCCGCCTACCCACCCAGACGTCCATGCACATGCACAGAAGCTTCTGCGCATGCGAAGAAGCAGGGCGAGCGCGTGTGTGTCCACAAGCAAACCAGTAGCGACAGGATTTGAGACCCACTACTGCTCTGCTCCCAGTTAATAAGGCAATCTATCTTCTTAAGAACTGCATAAATAAGGTGTATTTCAAATTTACTGAGGATAAGACTAAATGCTTTCAGTTACAAATTGCATACTTACTATATGTATACCAGATGCAGATAGCCATACATAAATGTAGAGAGATAAATATATAGAATATGTGATTTCTGATGTGTACTTGAGGTCAGGAGTAATCCTTTTTACTAACTGGGGGGAGGGGGGAGTAGCTATAGGAGAAAAAAATAACTCCTTTTTAAAAATACAAATAATTTTTTAAAAAAAATATTAAGAAAATTCCATAAATTTCCTTGTAAATACTCATTGAAATTTACTTCTCATATATAAGACTGCAATCTGATTTTCTTTTTAAATATGTATATTCTTTTCATGGTGTGTTATTTCCTTATAAATTAAGATATGTAAGAAATCTAGCTGCTTGAGCTGATAAATATTGCACAATGGAATTTTAAAAAAGATTCTGAAAAGTACAACATAGAATTAGAAATGTTATAGGAACCTTAACTCAAATTGTGATTAAAATCTTGAATAAGGCATTGGTATATATCATTGCATATAATATTCATCATTGTACAGCTGGATTTAACCCCTAGGTATCATAGCTGTTTTGATTATATAAAACCACTCATTGATTTGGTTCTCGGGATAGATTACTCTTTAATCATTTGTGTACTTATTGGAAACATGTATTCAATCATCAAATGTTTAAATGTCTTTATTACTATTTAGAAGTATATCTTTAAATAAAAATAACCATGTTGCCCTAATATCATTTCAAAAAGTACTTCATTTCACACACTGGGAAAAAAAAGGTATTCATAAAATTTATTTTAACCTCATTCTTTCTCTCAGGTATTGGAGATACAGTGAAGATATAAGAACTATGGACACAGGTTATCCCAAATCAATCACAATCTGGAAAGGTATCCCAGAATCACCTCAGGGAGCCTTTGTTCACAAAGAAAATGGTATGTAGCTTCTTGTTAACACAAATGCTTGCTCCTTCCTTCCTTCCTTCCTTCCTTCCTTCCTTCCTTCCTTCCTTCCTTCTTTCCTTCCTCATCATTTATTCAAAGGGTTCTTTGTTACTTAAATGTGAGTTCCCATAACAGTGCAATAAATACATTTACGATAGCTAATAATTGGAATAGGCCCAAAGCTTTTTTTAATATATGGCATTGCATTGACATCCTCAATGTCAAGTTTGTAACTGATGTGGATGGGGGAGGGGGAGGAGCTATATTGGACCATGACTCAGTTTGTTTTGTTTCTTTTAATGCTATTTTCTGACAGCTACAGCTGAGCGAAGAATCCAGGAGCTGGTATCTCCTTCCCATTTGCTTAGAGGCAAAGTTTAGGATTTACTTCCTGTGAAAGGGAACTTCAATCGCAGCTAAGGAAAGATTTGCTTTTACAAATAACAAAATATTTTAGGTCAGAACTTTTTTCACAAACCACTCAAATGGAAATATATCATTCTAAAAGTCTGTTCAAAGCAATCTACCCTAGACTTGGTTAGAATCACCTAATACAGAGTTAGAAGTTTATACTTTGCATAAGTCTATTTAACAAATACAATATTGCATATTTCTAGGAATATCAAATGCTGAACTGAATTGAACTACAGAAATATGTGCATTACATTCTTGCTTATGAAGGCCTTAATTCTATGAATGTCAATTGTTGCTTCGGGCTGTTGGCTATTTGATTGCAAAGTTTTAAATTTCCAAATACAATTACAACCAATTGTTGAGCTGCTAGCAGTGTACATGCAATTGATTGGTCAGAGATTTATTTACTTTTCTTTCTCTTTATCCATGACAGGTCTCCAGTAATATTTTTGTTTCTCTGTAAATGAGATGTGATATTTCTTCCCTTATTAAGCATTATTCCTTCCTTTAGCTCAAATCACCAATTGCTCTAACAAAAGCTTTTCCCCCCAGAAATAATTAGTTCCTTCCTCTAAGTTTGCCTTTTCCATCAAGAAAAGCTCTTTTCAGAATGAAGCCTTTTAACTATAGAAGTTTTCTTGTTTTCTTTTTTCAAAAAGGTAGGTGATTTGGAAAAACAAATCACCCTCCCTCCCTCCCCCTTTCACTCTCTCCCTCTCTCTCCCCCCCTCTCTCCCCCCTCTCTCTTTCCTACAACCTTTAAAAGCAAATTATCTACATTGCAGGTATAAGCTATATGTCTGTTAGACTCATATCTACATGGTACATAACAGAAATATTTATTGGTTTTCCAGTCTTTCAGTCACACTGAACTTCACAGTCTCTAAAATGTTGGCAAAGAAATATCTGGCAATAAAACTAAAAAGAAAGTATATTTCTTTTTTCGTTCAGTTGTTTTTAAAAGATAAACTTAGGAAATTCTATGGATTCTCAGAGAATAAGAAAGAAACGAGTTATCTGCTGAAGCCTGCCAAAAATGTGCTGGGGATTGTACCCTAAAATCAGGATTGTATTGGCTATTGCCTTAAGCTTAAACAAGCAAGGTTACATAGGAAAAACACCATACCTAGTTTCACAGAACTGTGATTAAACTTTGCCTGTAATCATTTCCTTCTCCTCTTCAGAGATTTCACTTGAAACTGTATCATATCGCTTTAGGGGAAAAGGTTCAGAGGACCAGCTTTTAGTTTAGCAACTTACATTAATCCTTTTGGCTCTCATTCATTCGGGTGAAGGGGTCGTTGGAGGGGGCTGGAAGGAAGCATGAAAACATGCCAACTGAGAAGTAGAAGACTATGTTCAGATTTAAGCTACCAGTATTTAACTCATAGATCTTATTCTACCTTAAAAGCTTTTTGCTAATATATAAAAAATGCTAGCAGTGTTTTTTTATTAGCAGAGTCAATTTATTCTCTTTAAATAATACATGTACATTTTGTGTACAATGCATAAAAACAAAAAATAATTTCAAGAAATCTAGATTTCTCCTAGGTTTCAGCAGAATGTAGGACTATAGTATTGAGTTAAACTATGTAAGAAATTGGAGTTGCTATCCAAATGAGGCGTGCACACTTCTGTTTCCAGTTCTCCATGTCTCCCATTTATTATTCCATATCCTTTGCTAAATCATCAGGTGCAGTGGCATCATTGTCATCTGTTTTCTGGGAGTATTCAGTACAAATTATCTATTTAGTGTGCTAATCATCGAACAGCACATTACTTCATTAAATATCCAAACTTTGCTGCACTTTGCAATCACCAGGGAAGCTTTAACTTCTCCACCCCGATGATTTTGGCTACACTGAAAGTACTGTAAGGGAAAATAACAGCTGCCTTGAGCTCACTGGGGATAAAAGCCTACAGCCTCCTTGAAGCAGCAAGCTCAGTGCAATTGAAGGTAGAGTTTCCTCTCAGCATTGGGAGATAGATTGCAGAGGTGGGAAAACAAATCACTTGCCCATTTTCCTTAAGGAAAGATGGTTTTCCAGATCCCACTCTATCCTGTTGAAGGAGTGGCTAACCAGAATCCAACTTCAGATTTGAGAAAGAATAGTAAACTGCCAAAAACAGATTTTGAATGTACTAACCAGAATGAAGAGAGAGGAAATATTGCTTTCTCTTGCAAACAGCTGAAGACTGACTCATAGACACCTACGCTGTGGTGGGAGCTGAACGAGGGAGAGTAAAAAAGAAGCAACTAAGAGGTCAAGGAGGATGAGGTGTTTAGGGAATCAGTGCAAAGGAATGTTGCCTGGCAGTTTAAGAAAATTATGTTGCTCCAAAATAAGCATTTTCTCCTCACCAGTAGGATCTTAGCTTTTGTAGAACATACGTGACAGTCTGTGAGGGAGTTTGCTTATAGTAACCCAAAAATCATCATGATGTTATTGTTTTGCTGCATTAGATCACCTTCATAAATATAACAAACTTATATATTGTCCAGCAAGATTCCAAATGCGTTGTCGAATACCACAGCATATAGTAGTAATTTTTCAAAAGTAATGATGGTGATGATTATTCATTGTCAAACAATTCAAGCAAATAATCCAAACAAGATGGATTGTGTCAAAATAATGCATATTATTAAGCTAATTACTAAGTCGATAAATGAATTTGCATTGTAGCCATAATAAAAGATTTATAGAAGGATAATAGAAACTATCCATGGAAACTCCTAGTAGCAGTTCATAGTCCTTCCACAGTGGTAAAACAAAACAGTTGTGAGCTTTCACATTCAAATGGATATTCCATTACCCCAAAGTATTTTTGCACTTAAATGAAATATTGGAAATATTCTTTGAAAGAAGCCTTTTTGATTTCAGTGGAACTTCTTCTTAAACAATTTGGAAGACTGCAGAAACTTGAAACTTGCAGAATATGTCAAGGGACATATTTTCTTTCCCCTACCTCTCATCTTTAAAGCCTCATCATTCAAGCCAAGCTAGTAAGCACATTAAAAAATGGGGGAAAGATTGTGTCTACTAGTACCAAAATAAAATTATTCCAAAGCAGCTTCACATACATTCAATTTTAAGAAAGAAAATGAAATTGAATAAATGGCCAAGCCAAGTTGTTTTTACATTTCTGTCATAAAAATTTGAACTGGAAAGTAAAAAAGTGGTGCTTAATTTGAATAGGTCACAGGTATCAAACTCGCCATGTCACGTTGCCGACACATGACGTTTCGCAATGTTTTTCCCATTGTGGAGCTGGGGTGGACATGGCCTGCCTGTGATGCATCCAGCCTGCAGGCCGCCAGTTTGACACCCCTGGAATAGGGAAATAAGTGATTAAAAAAAAAAAAAAGATTTGTCCTTTTTGTCATTCAAAGATAGAGCCCATTGTTTATATGTTTGTTATGTTATTGCAATAAATTTTTGCTTTTTTCCAAATCTGCTTAATTTTTCGACTGTCTCTCACAAGAGGCAAAGTTATAAAACTGGATAAAATTCCCAATTGTTTGCATGCAGTTGATAAATAACAGGAGGTTGTATACCCATTGTGAAAGTTTTTATTGGATTGGTACTATTTTTCAGCTGAGACAGTAAAAGCTTTACATTTTTTGGCAGGGAGGCTGATTTCTGCAATTAGGCACCCTGTAATTGTCCTGAATGATCAAATTCTAGCTCCCTACTGAAGATTTGAAGCTGAGTACACCTGTTTTATGTTTCAGAGTTCATTTTAAAGATGATGATGCAACAGGGAAGAGATTCAGGAGGATGGGAGCGATTTAGCTAACTCACTGCTATAATTTACAATAACTGACCAATATTCCTTTGCTCCTTGAGCAAATCAGGCTCAAGTTATTTTCAAGTGTCAATTTAAAACTGTATTTAAAACTTAATTCTTCCATCACATTAAACAAGTTAGACTTCATGACGTGACTCAACCATGTTGATCAGTGCACAAACAGTCTAATTTTATGGAAGCAGAAGAATTGTTTTATGAAAAAAATGTTTCATAAAATTGTGCAGAAATCTATACCAAAGATAGTTTATAGAATCAGGATGCTGTTTTGACTAGGTGGGGAGTTCTTATATTCATTTGCAAATTGCAGTTGTATTCTCACTTTCAGTAGGTTCTTTTACTGAGAGATGTCCAAATGTCAGTCCGTTTAAATAATTCAATATTTGTTTCTAAACAGGCTTCACATATTTCTACAAAGGCAAAGAATACTGGAAATTCAACAATCAAATGCTCCGGGTGGAACCGGGATATCCCAGATCTATCCTCAAGGATTTTATGGGCTGTGATGGACCAGCAGACCGGGACAAAGACCGACACAGCCCTCAAGATGATGTAGACATTGTCATCAAACTGGACAACACAGCCAGCACTGTGAAAGCTATAGCCATTGTCATTCCTTGCATACTGGCCCTGTGCCTCCTTGTCTTGGTTTACACTGTGTTCCAGTTCAAGAGGAAAGGAACACCCCGCCACATACTTTACTGCAAACGCTCTATGCAAGAGTGGGTGTGATGTAGGGATTTTTTTTTCTTCTTTTCTCCCAGGAGTAGTGGTAACATGAAATCCAACAAAAGAGCTGTTACGGAGTTTCCTACCAAGGAGCAGGCCTGTGTCTGTCTCAGCCAGGGATGATCTTTAAAATCCAGAGGGCTGCTTGTCCTGCACAAGAGTGAGAATTTTCTCCAGTAGGAAGCTTCAGTCGTACACAGTACCTGCCGTTTCTCCAGTCCTTCGTCTGTCTTTGTCATTCAGTTCCAGCCTTTCCTCTGCACGCTCAATATACCCAATGCAAAACAATCAGGATATTCATAAAAAAGAACAACATGAAAAAAGAAGAATCTCTGGCATCCCAGTTGGGTCTGTCTTTTCTTTCTTTCTTTCTTTCTTTCTTTCTTTCTTTCTTTCTTTCTTCCTTCCTTCCTTCCTTCCTTCCTTCCTTCCTTCCTTCCTTCCTTTCTTTTTCTCTTTGAAAGAATTTTGTGTGAGGTTAAAAAAAGAAAAGAAAAGATATAAGCATTTTTTAAAGAGAAAAGATAGAATAACTAAAACACAACAATCACAATGGAACTTTCAGGAAGTGTGAAGATCCAAAACAGCTTTGTCTCCAAAGAGGAATGCTTTCTGTCAGCTACAGATATAGTCCTATACTCCTACACATAATTTTTAACAAGTGGGAGATCAGGATGACATACAGGAATTCTGACTGTTTGGACAGCCATTTTCCAACAAACAAGGGGCCAAAATATCTGCAATATAGTAACAGCCTTAATAATATATTCATTTTGTGTTTTATACAATTGTTCAGAGCTATGTCCTCAATGTTTTCACACATTTATATTCATTACTATATTCAGAGAGTATCCTTTTTACTGATTGGTTTAGCATTTATTGGTTTCTCGCCTCTCCACTTTTCTCTTTTCTCCAGAATTGTATCAGGTCCCAGGCTTTCCATAAGCTTCTCAGAAACCTTATTTTGAAACCAGACTAGAAAGCAGCAAATTCCAGAAGTAAGAATGCAATCAAATAAATTAAAAGTTACTGAGAAACAAAAGACTAGTGTTAAGTTTATATTACCAGTGTCTCTTTGAGAACTATCAGTCCAATTTTCAGGGTGGAAAATAATATTGATTGAAATGGTAATAGTACAAAGATTCTGCTTTTACTTAAAGGCAACACTCCATAACTCATAAATTAGATCTACAGAGCCCTCAATGCCATTGCTATCTTCTCCCATCACTGGTGCTTCTAGTGTGTATCCAGGACACAGTAGGTAGTCCTGGCTGGCACATTTTCTTATGTTACTTCATAATGAAGAGGCAGCCAGAATGGGTTTGGCGGTGGTCAAGTGGATTTGCAGATAATAGAAGGCAGTTGTTAGCCTTGGAATTGAATCAGCTGGGTTTATTTATTTATTTTTAATTGCCATACCGAATGTGTAGTGACAGTTCTTCAACATTGCCTCCTTGTCTTCAGCTGGTGCTATGCCAAGCCATTTTATCAGTCTCCCACGTCTCTCTGCTGCTCTTTTTCTCCCAACAATATTGATCTCATTATTGGTAGACCCCATGGGTCCCATTAACAAATAATGAGCTTCCCTTACACTCTTGAAAAAGTGGGTGCGTGAACTGTTTTTTTTTTTTAATTCTGCCAGCAAATATGGCGAATGAGTGGCATTACGTTCTTATCATGCAAGTGACCTTTTCTTTGGTACTGTGCTTGGAGGGCCATGCATCGTACCTTTGTGAACTTGTGGGTAGAATTGAAAACTTGGCTGCCGTTTGGCTGGAGACAGATACATATAATTTGCAGCAGTTCAAACACCGTCTGCTAGCAGGAGGCAATACTGCCTATGGATTACATTGTCTCTGCTCACTAGTTTGTGGGGCTTTTTTGTGCTGAGCTCTGTTGATTGGAAATGACAGCAGCATAACTGGGATGAATAGAAGAGAAAGAGATGCTGCTGGAAACAGTCCCTCTATCATACTACCTTCAGCTTTCATGAAAGCGTTGGTCCTTCTCCACCTTAAGAGCAATAGGAAAATGGGATTTAATTGTGGGACTAGACCTAACTCATGTAACAATTGGCTTCATTTTTATTTTTAAAAAAGCTTGTCTTTTTAAGTTTTTTTGAAACACTATTCTGCATGAGTACAGAACTTGCTTTTGAATATGGACACTTATAGGCATAGTTAACCCTATCAAGGAGAAGAGAAAGCAACATCTGATACTGCCTGGCTGCTGTTTTATCTTCACAAAATGTGGTCATTTGGTATTCATCTTAGTTCTCAAAGGATTGGAAGACCTCTGGCATTTAGCCGTGCACTAAGTCACGGAAAGAACCCAGGGGACTACCTGGCATTATGTCATCTTGTGTAATTTTATGCTAACAGCAGTATTGTCATTTTCATGTGACCTGCAGAGCAGGTTATATATTAATTTTTTTTTCCCTAGAGAAAAGTCAGCAACTGACAGACCTCTTTTATTGATTTTAGGAGCTGCTTCTCGCAGTGACATGTTTTTTACAGTCACTGGGCTGTGAATTTATGAAAAGTGTTCGGAAAGAATGCACCCCACTAGATAGATACCTGACTTTTTATGAAAGCTAGGATTCTGGGGAGGTAGCTTTTGATACAATGAACAGCTTGCCTTGAACTTCATTGATCTGTTGATTGTCATTACTGAGTTAAACATTGTCTTCTGTGAAAAAGAGAAAAACCTTCGCTGTCTGAATTTCCTTACTGTGTACTATTTGATGTCTTTGCTCTTTGACCTTTAACTTGCAAACTGGCACAAGCTGAATGGGAAATAAGATGTTTCCAAACATTTTGGAGTGGGACTAAATTTTTACAAGAAAAAAAAAAGCTTAATGTATGTTGTCTGAATTCATCTGTTCTATTACAGAAGGGCAAAGGGTGAAAAGTCCTTCTTCTAGCTGGAATATATACAGACAATCTGATCTTATTCCTGCTTAGTTCCAACTGACTCCATGGGGAGAGAATTTCTCAATGTAATGTGCCCAGCATTAGTAACTGGTACAAGGTGAATGGAAAAATTGCTATGTATACATGTACTCTACTAATGAGCTACAGTATACAAATTTCTATTTAATTTTGATAAAATGTTTCATGTGAAACCAGTCCTTTCTACATATGATTTATTTTAAATGCATTCTAAAATGCATACAAATACTAAAATACTTGAAAACAGCCATCATTGACACGTATGGGTTCATATGTGTGTGTGTGTACACAAATACAGACACATATACTAGACTGAAATCAGTTTCTTACTAATTTCCTAATCCACATTACCAAATCATTTTATAGAGAGTGTAAGTATATATGTGTATTATTTTTTGGTAATGACTAGCTGGACTGCCTTGAATTTATATTTCTATTGAGTACAGCATGAAGATTAGTATAATTGAAATGAACATGATTTGGGGCTTTGTTTTTTATTCTGAATCGAGGGTTTATTTTGTAAAGAAAAGAGGCATGTAATACAGGATTGCACAAACAACACCCCATCAGCATAAACAGATTGATGAATGGATGACAGAATGAAAGAGAAAAGAATTCCTTAGTTTATAGCACATATGCATAGCAAATAGAGGTTTGGAATCTCTTAAAGGTATGATATATGGTATTTTAACAATTGTACCACTGTGAGATCATTATATTAGCCAGTTATACCTAACTCAGCTGATGGTGTACTACATGACTTATGTATGGTGAGCAGATCCCAGAGTTCTCCATTTCCTTACCCTTTCCTTTCAAAGCATATCAGTTAACCGGAAAAAGCATTATAGTTTTCTATCAGCAATCAGTTCTGCTACTAAGATAGTATTTTTTTTTCTTTTGTCTCAAATTATTTTGTGCTTAATTTCAACTAAAATAATTAAAGTACATTGGTTGTATTTAACTGTAGCCAATTAGTTAGCTTTGGCATTCATCATATGAATGAATCTATTCTGAGTTTGGATCCAATCCATAAAATTTATATGTTATTGCAAGAAACTAATGGTGAATGTTGATACTGATATAATAAGACAGGTGATTGCAGACAGGTTTGGTGAATAATCAAAACTTTGGACACATCCATTGAAGCTTCCCGAAAGAGATTGTCAGCACTGGCTGATCTGTATTTGGAAAATGGAAATATAGATATATTATGAACATTCACAAAAATGACAGATGGATAACAGTCAATAAACTTTGCATCTTTTCTGTTATATATCCATTACTTTAATATACAACAACAGACAATATTTATTCCCTTTTTCATTTAAATATTTTATTTCCCTTTCAGATTTCCTTAAAAACAATGAAGGAGAAAGCGCACAGCCATTTTTTAAAAAAATAAGGGAAAACAAATATTTGTATTTGGAGTTATGCAATAGTTTTTACAAAAAGTGAATGGTAATAATGTATACCACTAGATATAATACGAATTCATAAATATGAAAAGTTTGGGCATACTTTTGTCATAGAAGGTAAACTTATGTCACCATTTCTTTTATTTTATAAAGCAATCAACTGATTTTTTCCCCCAGCCCTCTGTTCTTGTAACCCCATTATTCAAATTAATTTTTATCTTCACTTCCACAGACATGTGGATGTAATATAAGTTCAGTATAAGGGTGTGAATTTATTGAGAAATGGGAACCTTATGAGATAAAAAGCAAAATATTGCATTCCAGAAAAAAATGGATTAAAAAAAAAAAAGACCTGTAAGCTTTTGGTAAGAAATTCAAGAAAATTCCAATTTTAGAAATAAAAAGTAGCATTGACTTTTGAATAAATCCTTTATTTTGAATAAAAAATACAAATGTTCCTTTATAGACGAGACTAACTTCATCATAGATACAATGGGTAAATCAATGTAACAACACATAATATATAGAAACCTATTTTTAATAAATGCTCATATTGCTCAATCAACATTATAAGGTCAGCCTATCTGCATAGTTAGGGTGTGCTATAATTGTAAAGGGATAAATAGCATGTTATGTTTGTCATAAACTGTAGATTTAACCCCCTTAGAGAAAAACAAATATTTGATATTCGATTATCTGATATGGAAAAAATAGGATATTACTCCAAATAAGAGATTCTGAAATCTCTGACTAAAATTTTAAAATATTTTTTCTCTCTGTCTCTTTTTTCTCTCCCCCCATCTTATTTTTTTTTTTTTTGAGAAAAGTATGGCTTAAAGAAGCAGAAGAATGTAGTCAAAATTTTGTGAAAACATATCAACTAGTTAAATGTTATATTGAAACTTTCCATATCTAACTTGATTATGGAAATAATTAATAGAGTATTCATGACAATTTTGCCTACTAAAACATATGCAATAAGGGAATCTAGTAAGTACAGTTTTGCTACTTATATATTTGTACTATATAACCCAATTCTATACATGTTTGTTTGCCGTCTCCTTGAGTTCATTAGAGTTTTTACTTATGTATAAACTGTAATGTGCAGAGGACTACATTAGTTAAAATAGTTGTATTCTTCAAATCATATTCACTAATGGCTGTTTAGATTTCTTTATTTGAGGACTGAGAGGTTTCCATTCAATTATCTGCATAATTTTATTTTACCAGACCACCATTCTGCTGTTTGAAATGATTGCTGTGCATCATATAACACAAGGGATTCTGTTCTGGTTTGTTGATGCAAATGTATTGTGCTAATTGACAATCTTGAATGAAGTTTCACTATTCATCATCTTGTAACTAGGCTTGTGAATGTCTCCCACTGGGAAAAAAAAGATTCAGATTATCAATTAATACAAAAATCTATCTGTAATATCTGGTGTGCACATTCCTAATAGATCCTTATATCTTTAGATTATATAATTGGCCAAATAGCATCTTCTCTAATATTTTGATAGCTTTGGGCATCCAGATCAACTAAGCACATTAAGTGGTAACTCCTATAACAAGAAAAACAAGAGCTGTTTTTCCTATCATTCCTGACTATTTTAGTAAAAACTAAGCAGATGAGAATAGGAAATGGTTAATCCCATATACTTTGGGACAAGTTTATTAAATCATAGATCTATTTCTTTTTTCATTAACTATCTTAAGTTCACAAACTGCAGGAATCTGTCAGACATTGCTGCATGGTAGGCTGGCTGTACTTTATGTTACAAGGATATGTTTAAAAAGAGTTATTAGAGTGATAACAGAATTAATGCTGATATCTGGGTTACATGCAAACTATGCTGTTCTCACTTTTTATCCCACTAATTATACTCAAAGTATTTAAATTCTGGGTTTAAATGTTTTACTATTATAAAAGGCAAAATAAAGTTTATTTCTCAAATTAAGTAGATTTATTAAACACAACCCTTCAATTTAATAGTGCTCCTAGTTTCCCAAATTGCTGGTTTCTCATGAAAAATAATCAAATGCAAAATTTCCATGCCACGATATTGATGTGGCTGTTTAACGCAGGGATATAGATGTAACATTCAAGTCAATTATTAGTTAATGGTGTAAGAATATATCATTCCAGTTGAGCAAAACGTTCAGTATTAGTGCTATGATATTCTCTAGGCATATAGAAAATGTCTTACAGATTCGCAAACCAATTAAAATAGAATAAGGACAGTAAAGTGAATGAAGTGAAGTGCAAAAAAAGTCCTCAGCAAGTTCATTGACATGCATTTTTCTTTTCTTGTAATTTTTTTTGGCATCCTATAAAGGGTAAAAGTCACTTCCCAATAAATTTTACCAGGTTCTTAAAATTTTGAATGGCTGCTAACAGTATTTTTGTGTTTTCCATTGAATTTCCTTTGATTGAATTAGTGCAAGCAGCCCCTAATGGTGAGACATGTCTTTGGGTTTAAGATCTCAGTCTGCCATTGACTCACACCAATGTAAGACTAAGGTAAACACACACACGCGCACACACACACACACACACACACACACGCAGAGAGAGAGAGAGAGAGAGAGAGAGAGAGAGAGAGAAGAATTACAGAGTTAAATATTGTAGGTTGGTGATTTTTCCCTATACCCTTGCCTGCATGAGTATGGTGTCCAAGGTGTTACTTGCCTGGCATTATTTCAGAAGATAAGATGGGTTTAAATAATAATAATAGCATACATTTTATGGGTGCCTTACAGCTTCATCATTACATATGTTAGGTGTTGGTCCTTTCCTTTACCTGTCAAACTCTTTACTATTTTGTAGAATTCCATTTAGATTCTCTGAATATGCACTCACCAGCTTGATGATTCAACAAGCTCTGGTCAGACAATTCTGTAAACACTGACACAATTCTACCTAAGCCTGAGATTGCCACTTATTTTCACTTTATGACTAAGACTCTTATGGTGGTGTTTCTGCATTGTTGAGGTTTCTGTCGTAGCTTTGCTATCTAATCCATACGCTGCCAGACTACTCAACTACATGATGTTGCCATGGCCTTTAATGCAGCTTTCTCCAGTCTGATTCCCTCTTTAACATCACCTCTTTCCAGCTCTAAACATCTTGAGGATCTTTAGGAAAAGTTGGAAATTTTAAAACTTTAGCAGTTTATTTTAAGGAATATGGGAGGTAGGCTATATAGGGCCAATGTGAAGGTGACCTATTCTTGCCACATCTAGTGTGATTGATCTGTTTGTCATTTCTAAAAAAACAACAAATCCAGAGTTGTTGTTTTTTTAATAGACATTTTCTAGGGTTCTTCATCTTCAAAACTCTGGAGTTTTCAACCTGATAATAAACCCAACACTTTCCTGCTATTCATTAAAATAGTTTCTTTTCAGGCTTTTGTAGAAACCTGAAAAATGGTTCCACTTGCTTTAAGAATCACATTAATTTTAATGAGTGAGTTTCTTTCGGCAATGTCACTTTTTCAGACTTGAGGTGCAGGGAAAGGTGCTGCACTTGCAATATTCAAAGCTATTATGAATCATTTTCTATGTGTGCACAATCCTGATACTTACCTATATGCATTAAAAGAAAGATTTATAAATATTTATTCAAAATTACATGCTGATTTAGCCCAAGTCCACAACTAAAATATGATTGTTTCCTCATACCTCATCAGCAATTTCTGGAAGGAATTGATTTCAGAAAGGGAAGTATTTCCTTTTTTACTCTCTTGCTTTTAGGTTTTTCCTATACACATTATCTGTTGAAAAATAAAAACACTACCACCACCACTATCTGTATTAGAGCTGCCATACGAAACCTGAAAAAAATCCAGTCAGACAGTTGATAGCAGCAAAGAAACAAAGCTAATATTTACCAGTTGCTGTCATCTAGTGATCATCTGAATTTCTGTAGCTTTGTCCCGTTTTCTTTTTCGGTAAGTGATTTACATCAGTGGTTTCCTTTACTTCAAGGATGTTTATCATACTTTGCAAGAAAAAGTAACTTTTTCCAGCAAACCTCTATATTGTAAGGCACATGATACAAGCAAGAAACTTGAAGGCCCATCAATTAACACAATATAGTAGAAAGTGGAACATTCTAGAGCACTTAACTAGTTTATTCTGTTTATTCTGGTTTATTCTGATGTGATTCCTTTATGCTTCTAGGGATGAAGAGCAAGATTTTGACCTAGAAGTAATAAATTATCTAATTATGAGAAATCAACCCTCTCCTTTTTTAATTCTACTTTCACACTTACAATATGACAGCTGAAAATGTATTTGATGTTATCCCTACAGACAAGACAAAAAAGAATATAGGAACTTTAGTGTCACTTTATGTTTTTAACCCCACCCTACCCCCTGCCTACAAGTTGTAATATTCTTCAGTAAGTGGCTGGTCCTTTTATAGGCAAGTGTAATTGCTATAAAAAAGCTAACAAGCAAGACAGACCTATATACTTATGCGTAGAAATATAAACACAATATTTTTTTCCCTTCTGACTTGGTTCAGAGTGTTGCAGGTAAAGAAAGAACAAATTCTATGAATTTACCATACGACAGTTGAACAAAATTAAACAACATTACTGTCTTCTTCTCAAAACATTTCTCCATTAATCATTTAACAAATGACATGTTATTCTTTCAAGTACTTTCTATGGACAAACACAATATTTGTTTGTGTGCGAAAGCAAGGCTGACTTAAATGGTGCTAAAGTGTATAATATTAAAGGCCATCAGATATAATCAGGCAAATATTTGTGGTGCTTCAAGAGATTTTTTTTTCTTGATGAGTTTAACAGTGTTTTATTATACATACATTATTTTTATTAGT